TCTGATTACAATCTTGAAAGACCCATGGTTGAACTCTGCATTGTCTATGGTGGGTAGGAATGCCTTTCATCAGGTATTCTTGATATATATGTGACACTGTATAGGGGCATCAAATGTCGTCACAGCTTCAGAAATGGAATGTGTGATGCCTATCACAATTCATTCAAAATCCGGTAACTCATGTCGCCTTTCCATGAACAACCTAATTAGTATTCACGCTGACTCACAAGATGTCAGAGCAGTACTGATTAAGATCTGGGCATCAAAGTACAGAGGTGGGTAAGTGAAATTTGGGGAGAAGGAAATTGGCCCATTTCAGGTCTTTGATTGGTTGGGTTTTATGGCATATCAACCACTGTGGGTCATTTAATGCCAAATTAAGGTATATATATATATATATATATATATATATATATACATACACACATATACCTATACATATATTAAATTAAACATATAGCTGGCAACATTGTTGTTTCAAAAACGCATAGCTGGCAACATTATTTTACCAAAAATGTATAGCTGACAACATTATTTTTCCGAAAACATTATCTGAAGCCTTGTTGGACATAGTTTATCGTCATACCCAGGACGCGAATGTAGTTTATCGTCATACCCAGGATGCCCATTTCAGGTCTTATCTTTTGGGCTAATTTATACAGTTCATCATCAGCTTAGACCACGATTAGTTATGACCAATAATATTTCGATACCCATTTTTTATTCTAAATATTGCATCTTAAAAACTCGAAGTATAATTATGTTATTGGATGCCCCTAAAGTCTGGACACATAGGCAAAAATGCATATTTTCAGGAAATGAAATTTTCAACATTTTATTGAATTAGAATATTCACAAATAGCAACTTCAATATGATTTCCATCATTTGTGAGGCAAGGTTTGATGCGTTTTTCAAGATTCATGTGAACTCGATAAAATAACTGCACAGTCGTCAATTTTAGCATATTCACTCTTTATGCGTTTAATCAAGTGCGTTGCATCTGTGATTTTCATTGAATACACTATCTCCTTTAGCAGAAAAAGAAGTCAGTTTTTTCTTCTTTCAACAAAACCATGTTTAATCTGTGAAAGTAAAAAAAATATAGTAAATGATATTTCCTATGTGTCCATACTTTAAGGACACCCTATATACACTCTGTTTCCATGATACTGCACATTGTCATTGACTTAGGAGCATGATTGGTTATGACTAATAGGTCATAAATTGATCTGGTTGTAAGATGGCCTGTAATTAATTTTGCAATCTTTTTTACTTTAGGCATTATTGCAGTTTTTATAATTTTTATAGTTTCCTTGTTTGATGATACCATTTGTATCATCTTTCCTATTGTTTTGTTTCTTATTTTTATATTTGTCAGGTTTAAGTCCAGCACTGCATACTCCTGTACAGTTGGTTTAATATTTGCTAAGCATACAAAAACCCAAAATACATGTGCAGAAAACAGAAAACCTTTTAGTTGTAAAACATACCAAAAGACAAAACATCTTATTAGCTGCTGGTGCTTGATTGTGGATTGTTGGTGTTGTGTGCCATCTGTTCAATCCTTGTAAATCATTTGATGTTTGGGTGCCTTTCTTCAAATATGCAAGGAGTTTATTCAGTAGGGATAAACCTGCTGATAATACCTTAGTGGTAAATTTCCTTTCTTTTCTCAAGGTGCATGAGAGAATTTCTAGTGGTGCTAGATGGGGCAGAAACTGTCATACACCAAGCTGGGAAATTCTCACACTGCCAGATGGGGAGCAATCATAGCCAGACATACCAATTCGTGGGTTGGTCATAAAAATTATAAGTCATTTACAATCTGTATTAACCTTGTAGATTCACAGTGGTTGCTGTGGTTGTTAGGTTTTCAATACTTTTCCTGTAATTCCTTATGTTTTGTTCAAGCACATTTTATTATTTTAATATTTTTGGAAAAAGACTTCTTGTTCTTTTATTAGTCTCTTTCTGATATGTCCCGGAAAGGGATATATTTGTTTGAAGTATGTTGTGGTAGGATCCACCTAATTTGCATAGTGGAGTACCGACCATATAAATATGGTTGGTACCGGGAAGAGAGTGAGAGGAATCAAGAGATTCAACCAGAGACTCTGCCCGACTGCGACTCAGTCAACACATTCTCCAGGAACGGTCTTCCCAGGAATATACAAAAGACTATATGTAAATATTGTGTACACTTTCTTGTTTCAATACATTTTGTTCTAAGTACATTTTGTGTTGCATTATTATTCCATGCATTAGTCAAGTTTCAACAAAGTAGCAAAGTGGTTTTGGACTATTGTAACCAAGTAGGACAATCTAGCTGGTAACCGTAATAGACTGGCCCTTGTCGTAGTGGTAGGCAATAGGCGAAGACTATAGGCATAGCCAATAGGTGTCCAATAGGCGTCGTCCTTGGACCTGTCTGTATTTATGGCTGACACCAGCCAATCATATTACTGTGAGGGGGAACCCAGGTGTATGTATATTCATTACATCACTTTCCTTAATAGTGTTTGTTTTTATCATTCTCTAAAACTCAGTAACCTCTTGTATTTTAGTGGCTTTATTGCTTTGCTTGGGGTGAAATGATTAAAAAAATATAAATGTGTCTATAAGGCATCAAATCATTCTTCCAAAAGATCTTAGCTGATAAATGTGGATACAGGCAATTAACTGTAGTCACTTCAGAGGAATAAGACCCTCACCAAGTGCCACATGCAAAATAGATGCTTTCAAACTCTAGTAAAAAAACAACCTCTACCTGTTTGCAGTCTCAAGTATAAACATGACCCCTGCCTGTCTGCAGTCTCAAATATAAACACAACTGCTGTCTGCTTATAGACTCTAGTATAACTACAAATTCAGATTTCAACATTAAGTAACTCAATATTATCTTATTAAATACTTTGTACCATTTTTCCTTCGGGGCATCAACGACCATGGCTCTCCAGTTTCCTATCCTTTGTAACTGTGAGCAATATTTATGTTACTGTCTCTTCTCTTTCATTTACACAAACTCACTAGAGTTAGGGTTACTTTCCATTCCCCCTCTTGTCTTAAATTTGTCCTATATTCTCCAAGCCTATTTTAGGTGTCGCAGAAATTTCAACTCTTTCTTGTTGTGAATCTAAATGTGTTTTTCATTCCCATTTTCATATGTTCTATCCATGATATTCTCAGTATCTTTCTGTAGAACCACATCTCTTTTGCTTCAACTCTCTTCTGTCAGAAAATAATCTTGGATTCACTGCCATATATTAGGATTGATATCATATAACTGTTCAGCAATTTTTTTTTTTTCTTTCTCATTTCAAACAAAATTTTCAAGATCATTAAAGAAAAATGGCAACAGTTATGGAATAACTTTCATACTAATAAACTAAACAATATGCAACCAATCATCAGTGAATGTTTCTCTGGCTATCAAAAGATAAGAAGAGAGGATATGGTTCTCACCAGACTTCATATTCTAAATATGCATGTTACTCACAGACATTTATTGAGAATGTGTCAGGAGTCATATACAGTCAGGCACATACTGTTGGAATGTTACAGCTTCTGGGAAATCTAATACAAGTATTACAGAATGAATAATCTTAGAAAACGTTTTAAAAATATTAAACCAGATAACATACTGTAATTTATCAAAAAGACTGGACTTTACAATAAAATATAAAAAAAAAGAAAAAAATTAATAAAAAATGTTTATAAGTTTACACAAAAAAAAAACTTACATTCAGTCATTTGTGACAAACGCTAAAATTTGTTTTCAATCATAACTGAAGAACAATAAAACTTCTTCTCTACTATACTTGGGAAAAATTTTCTTTCAGCCATAACTGACAAACTATGAAATTTTCCTTCAGCATCACTTGCTTCCCTAATAATTATACTGTTCAAAAATTTAAATGCAACATCAATTGCCATTTTCTATTGTCTTGATCTCTATCCTTTTTTTCCTTTCCTCAATCACCCCCTATACCCACTCTGTTCTCTCACTTTCACTCTCCATAACCCCTTGCATGCTAATGATACTTCTGCCTTGCTTGGTGTGAAATGCTTAAAAAAAAAAAAATTTAAGCTACCTCTTGTGGAGGGCTCTTGATTGGGCCTTCAGCTTGATCAGGAGTTTGAAAATTGGAAGCTCTCCTGGTTGCTATTTGATCTGGGATTTCATTTGCACAGGACTTTCTTGCTGCAGCTTTGTCTCTTTTGATTACAATCTGGTCCTCTGTTGGAAGAGATTTTCGCAAGGCATGCTTCTGCTGTATGTGAGAGGCAACAATAAAATTGATCACTACATTTAAGTATTGCATTAAGAATTAAGCTTACCTTTTGAAAGTTCAACAATAATTCTTCTGCCACCACTTAATTTAAAGATGATTTATGTAGTTCCTTACTTTCTGTACAAACAATAATTTTTATTTCATGGGTGACTTTTGCTGGATTTCACAATTAATTTTGATTATTCCCAAATTTATTTCCAAGTTACAAAAATTATCATACAAAAGAATTTGTTGTAAAAAGTGACGTAAAAAAAATTGACAAAAACAATCACTGTAATGAAAACTTGGGATTTCAAAATTTCAGGATTGTGGGTCAGGATCTGGTCTGGAATGTTTTTAATTTGCTCACAGAGTTGGCCTGATTCCAAAATGGGCTACGGCCTCTAGGAGTAAAGTTGAAAAAGTGTGACACACTGACATTCACATTTATTTTTATAAATCAGTTTCTACAGCTTACCAACCCTTTGCAGGTCATTTAAAACCAGGAAATATTTTAAAATTTTTTATTTTTTTTCTTTAGATAATAATGATTTAGTGATACAAGTATTACTAATTAACCCATAGCTGAAGGGAGGAGAAGTGGATTTGTATCTTTCTCAATGGCATTTATCTATAAGTGAATACAACAAACTCAACTTAAATTGGAACTCCGCTCTCTGATTAGCAATTCTGAGTCATTATCCATTACACCATCCACAAATTCAATATTACAGCACCTGGTATTTCCAAGCAGTCACCCATCTAGCTACTGACTAGGCTTGCCATTGCTTAACTTCAGTGGTCATATGGAAACCAGTATTTCAATATTATATGGCTGTAAGCCCCAAATATTTAAATTTCTATGCTTGCTTGATTTGTAACACCTCCAATTCATAGCTTGCGTTTTATGCTGTTCATCCTGTTGATATCCATACATTGAATTCTTACCATTGATAGTCCTTTCTTCCCACTCTTTTACTACCTTGGGTAGGAGTTCCTGCATTATTTTCACATCCAAGAATCCTGCACATAAGAAAATAACTCTAGTTAATAAATACTAACTTTAATAAAACCTGACACAAGACTGTGTTCGTGAACCATAAATAAATAAAGGTTTAGCTTGCTAACCTCTGAAACTTGTAAAGCACTGTAAAAAAAAAAAAAAAAAAAAAAATTACACTATCAATTAAGATCCTGGATAGAAAGATATTTAGAATCACCTCAAGAGTTTAAAATTTCAATTTTGAATTCTATTAATGGTGCTTTTTCAAAGAAAATACTTCACCTTTCATTATTCTTTGAATGACTTTTTGATGTAAATGGATTTGATTTCTCTTGGTAACGTGCCAATGTCTGAAGGTTTTTAGGAAAAGACAGAATGATTGAATATATATATATATATATATATATATATTTTTTTTTTTTTTTTTTTTTTTTTTTGAACATAAAAATTCTCTTTATGCTATTTACATTGTTCAAACTGTTGTCCTCATCTCTACTTTTACTTTTCACAACATTTTGACCATTATACACACACCAGCCTTCTTCAGGAAATATTTGTTGGAACTTTGTACCAAACCTTTTAGTTAGTCTACAGGGGTAGATTGTTCTAATTCCACATGCCATGCCTTTGGATATTTCAGTTCTGGATAACTCTCCACGTTTTTGTTCTCTCTGCTGAATCCATCTCTTTGGGTCATTATTTTTTGGATCAATCAACAAACACTTTCATCCACTGGGCCATGAAGAAGGCTGGGGCATACATTAGCTGAAACATTGTGTCACAGTAAATATTAGGACAACAGTGAGAACAATGTAAATAGTTACAATGCCTCATTTCAGAAATATAGACAGATATTAAAATTCTTTCTTACCCCCCACCCCCAAATCTCTCCTTTTATCAGTTCTCCTATATGGCAGTAAATGCTGGACAATCTCCTTACAGATGAAGAAGAGACTTGAAGCAACAGAAATGTAGTCCTACAGAAGGATATTGAGAATACCATAGACTGAACATGTGAGCAATGACAAAGTTTTAGAGAAAATGGAAACAAAAAGGACACCTACTTAACATTAGAAAGGGACAGTTGAAATTTCTAGGGCATATAATGAGGAAAGATGGCTTGGAAAATTTGATAGTCATAGGATAGATTAAAGACAAGAGGGACAGAGGAAAACAATGCATAACCTACCTAGCATGCTTGAGTAAATGGATGGTGGAACAGGGTTTAGGAGAGATAACAAAAGAAAAAAAAAAGTTATTGAGAGCTACAAAGGAAATTGTGGAGAACCATGATTGCTAATGTCCTGACAGGACACAGCACATTGAAGAAGAATTAATACTGTAATAAGGAAATTTGAGTAAAGATTATACAAAACACTACAATAAAAGCAAACTAAAATTAAATACTAAGGGTCTATCTTTCAGTAAAATACATACTTTATGATGTTAGATGGACTGATTAGGCTCGGCATTGCTTAACTTCAGTGATTGCATAAGAACTAATGTTTCAAGATGATATTGCTACAAACCAATCAGAATTTAAAAGGCAGTAGAAAAATTTTGAAATTTGGGTGTGTAAAAGGACATTGGTATTATAGTAGTGATCCATTTATAATCTGAATTTAAGCTATTTAGATTATTTTTGGATATGTTTCCTTTGTCTTTATTAAGACCAGCTTTTTCTAATGTGCCGCAATCATGGCTCTTCACAACTTTCTGTTTTTTGTACCTGATAGTAAGATTCGTCTTTATGCCATCCCTTCTAATCCCTGTTCTGCTATCCATTTACATGTGTGGTAGGTTACTGTTTGCCTGTGCACATCTTGCCTCTAATATGTCCTCTGTGTGTCAAATTCTCTAAGTCCTCTTTCCTCATAAGGTGTTCTAGAAATTTCAGCTGTTTATGTCTGATTCAAAAGTAAGCAAAATTTTTGTTTTCATTTTCCCTAAAATTTCTTTGTTGCTCATGTACACAATTCACAGAATCCTCAGCTTCCTTCTGTAGGACGAGATTTCTTTTTATACCAGTTTTCTCTTTGTCTCTGAGGAGATTGACCAGCATTTACTGCCATACAAGAGGATTAATATTACATAATTGTTCAGAACTCTTTACTTTGTTTTTAATTACATTTTCCTGTTTCTTGATACTTTGTTTAGTTTTTGAAAGTCACCTTTCCAATGGGTGTTCAGGTTTTGAGCTCATATTTTTGACTCTCTGTTAAAACACTCCCCAGATATTTACACTTCTGTGTTTCTTTGATTTGACATCTCCAATTTGTAGTTTGAATCTGGTGCTGTTCCTTTTACTAACAACCATGCATTCAGTCTTCTAGCAATTGATAGTCCTTTCTTCTTGCTTTCCTTTACTATCTTGTCTAAGGGGTCCTGTAGTTTTCCTTCTGTCTCTACCATCAATGTCACCCGAGTGGCTTATATTGTTAAGATTATGGCCACTAAAATGCAATTCTTAGTAGGGTCACCAGTTCCTTTAGGATAGGCTTGGTTTATCGATATCTTCAACAAATTGTATATCTTGTATATGATGTGTTTGTAATTTATATATTTCTGTTGTGGGACTGATGATGTCTTTTTAATCCCCAAAATAAAATTAGGTATATACTAGGTGTAACAGCAAAATTGTCCAATTGTTAGATTAAGCTTTGAACCGTTGTAATCTTAGAAATGATTAAAGATATCTTACTGGAATTCTCTGAGGTTTTTATAATACTATTGGACTCTACTTTGAGCAATAATAATGTATTTAGCTCTCAGTTGAAATGATAATCGCTCTTCTAGTTATGACCTACTGATCCAGTTTTCCTCTCTACTCTTCCCTCTTTTTTAAACTTATTTACTGTTCCCTTGATGCTTCTTGAATGGACTTTGAAGACGGAATTCAGAGTACCATTACTAAATGCGCCTGAATGATTTTTCTTCTAAAATCATTGCTCAGTTGAGAAGACAGTGGGTATGACACAGTGATTTTAACCTGTTGTCTTTCTAACTGAATAACTCAAAGGGTTTTTCAGTGATTGTTACTATAAATGGTATCAAGTTGACCTTCTGATCTAGTTTTCCTCTCTACTGTTCTCTCTTTTTTAAAATTATTCACTGTTCTCTTGATTGTGAATGGACTTTGAAGATGGAAGCTAGAGTATGAATGTTGGTACCATTACTGAAGGCCTGAATGATCTTTTTCCTCCCACCATTGCTCAGTTGGGAAGACATAGTGAGGCTGACACAAAATGATTTTAACCCGTTTTTTTTTTTTTTTTCTGGCTGAATAACTCAAAAGGTTTTAAGTGATTTTTATGACAAATGGTGTCAAGATGGCTAAACGTCTTATCTGCAAACCCGGAAAAAAGAAACTCGGTTTAGTTTTTTTTAGATATTAAACATTTTGTTGGATTGACAATTATCCCATGCTGTTACATGATTGAACAATTTTGCAGTTACGCTTGATACATCTATCTATCTATCTATCTATCTATCTATCTATCTATCTATCTAAAATTCTGAAATATATATACATAAAAGTAAATGTCAATATGTATGCATGACACCCACCCCACACACATATATACTGGGTGTAACAGCAAAATTGTCCAATAGTTAGATTAAGTTCCGAACTGTTGTATCTTAGAAATGATTAAAGATATCTTACTGGAATTCTCTGAGGTTTTTCTAATACTATTGGACTCTCCTTTGAGCAATAAGAATGTATTTAACTCTACGTTGAAATGATTATCCCTCTTGCTGTTATGACCTCTTGGTCCAGTTTTCCTCTCTACTGTTCCGTATTTTGTACAATTATTCATCGTTGTCTTGATGGGTCCTGAATGGATTTTGAAGATGGAAGCCAGAGTATAAAGAATAGTACCATTACTGTAGGCCTGAATTATTTCTCACACCATTGCTTAGTTCAGAAGATACAATGGGGCTGACACAAAATGATATTCACCTATTCTCTTTTTAGCTGAATAACTCAAAGTTTTTTCAGTGATTATTAAGACAAATGGTGTCAAGATGGCGAAACGTCTTATCTGAAAATCTGGAAAATGGAAACTTGATTGGTGGTTTTTCAGATATTAAATATTTTATGAGCTGGACAATTATCCCATGTTGTTACACAATTTGGAAAATTTTGCTCTTACACCTGATATATATAAAAAAAGAAGTACATTTATATATTGCAAATGTTTCATCAGTCCAACCCACAATAGCTACAACGAACTGAGCATCTTCCCAGCACCTTTAGCAATGGATCATGCAGGATGCAATGGGTAAATTCTAACCATTTTATATTTTTAATTTTGCACTTTTCGATTTTGTCGGCTTCACAATATAGTATGGTCAGCTGGGCACCATATATGAGGAAAAAAAACACCATAACGCAATACTCTCTTCCAGAAGTTTTGAAATGGCAAGCTGTACTGTTTGGCATTTGCACTGAAAGCTCCAATACAAACATTTCAAAGTGTTTAGGTGTCAATCTGAGGACAGTGCAGAGGATTTTGAAAGAGTTGGATGAGTCTAATGGTGATTACAAAAGTGTTTGGAGTGATCACTAGTGATGGAGACATTATGCCTTCAGTCATCTTCCCACAGTCTCAGACTCAACACTGAGGCAGTACTGCCCAAGGTCAAGAGGGTGGCTGCTGGGAAACCCAATGTCTGGCAACATGACTCTGCATCATGCCACACAAGCAGGAGAACCCAGTCATGGCTGTCAGACAATTTCTTGACCACATGACCTTTTACATCTGGCCACCTTACTCCTCAGACTGCAACCCCCCTTGATTATTATGTGTTGGGCACAGGTGAGCGAGAAGTGAACAAAACTCTTTGTAACACCAAAGATGAAGGATTATGGAAGCATCCACCAATTTAAACAAGGTGACCGTCCAGAAGTGTTGCAGGAGATTCCAAAGTTGTCTGGAAGCTGTGGTTGAAGCCAATGGTGATTGTATTGAATAAATTTACTTGTTAGTATTTCAAGATATTTTTGTGTAATTTTGGTAAATATATCTGTTAAAATGAGATGTCAGTATTATTTTCATTTTTACATAATTTAAATGACAATTTACCCATCGCAACCTGTATATATAAGTTCCAGTTGAGATCTGGGAATATGTAAATACTTCTGTCTTTACCTTGGGATGATTTCTTTTATAATTTTCTTCCATTTTAAAAACTTGTTACATATCTTTTTTGATTCATTTCTTTTTCGATGTGCCATCTAAGGATTTGGGTAATCATGATTTTTCCACAACACCCTATCCTTTGTAGCTCTTATCAGTGTTTGTCTTTTTCTACCATCTGTTTACACAAGCTTCTTAGGTAGCTTACTAACTGCTTCTCTCTGTCTCTCTTGCTTTCAATATCTCCTGTGAGTATCAACTCTTCCCTGGTTTCAAGAACACCGATGGACATGGAGATAAGTCCAAGACAGACATTTTCTTTAAATTGTTAGATTAAAAAAAAAAAATACTCTGGAACTATTTATTACTTCTTTTGAAGGATTGTCTTTATGATGTTTTTTTTTTTTTTTTTGTTACATTTTTTTAATTATATTATATTTTCTTTTCCCAGCTCTTCATTACCGAATTCCATATCCAAGACAGGTAAGTTGGATTTGGCTTCTTCTTTTTTAGCTAATTTTATGATAATTCAATATAAATTAATACTGGGGAGTACATTCTTATAATGTGGCTTTATCATGATATCCAAATATTTATTTTTATAATTCCAAATTTCGTATTTTATAGTGATTTTCTAAGTGTAACTTTGATGTGGCACAAAGCTAAGAGTATTAGGCACCTCTGCTTTTTTTACAAATACTTTCATGGTAATTGCTTCGATGAGCTGCTGGTGCTGGTTCCCAGACTTTGCGAATTCAAGCGTCCTGTGAGGCTGGCATCCTGCTCTTACCCTTTCACTGTTGAAACTGTTAAATGTAGCTGCCTCTTCTACTCCAATAGCTTTATATCTCGCACCTCTTGCCTGTGGAACTCCCTTCCCTATTCCTGTTTTCCTGATAGCTATAATCTCCAACTATTCAAATGTAATGTCAATTGACATCTCCAGTTGCCTTGATCTATCCATTATCCTTATTCTCATCCTTTCCTCTATCACTCCTATCTGCTCTCGCTCCAAATCCTCTGTAACGCCTTGCATGCTAGTGGCTTCCCATCTTGCTAGAGGTGAAATGCTTTAAAAAAAAAAAAGAAGTTATTTATGATCTTTGTTCCAGTGTTTCTTTGTATTTTTAGTTACTTTCATAGGACTCCATTATCATTTCAAAATTGCTTAAACTGATGTCCTCATTCTTTGTGGGATTTAGGTCAATAAGAAACAAAATTCCCCAAAATAATATAAATTTAGCCATTAACTAATTTAAACTTCATCTTGGGAGATTTTCAGTGTTATAAATGGATTCAATATATATAAAAAAAAAAAAAACCAAAAAAAAAAAAAACCAAAGCAATGGAAGTCTTTATCATGATTTTCTGATAAATACAATAAAATCATGTCAAAAACCGATATTTGGTGCCTGGCATAAGCTACCAAAACCAGGTAATGATAACATTAGCAAGTTTCCTTATTGGCATTCATTTAAGATTATTATTGACCCATCATTAAGCTAGCCTCTCTCTCTCTCTCTCTCTCTCTATATATATATATATATATATATATATATATATATATATATACCCTGCAAGAAAAAAGAAGCCATCTTGGAGTGAAGGTGACCAGAGTAAAAAAAGGTAAATCCAGAAGTGGTGCTGTTTTTGGCTGAAATTTATAAAATCTTTCTCTTATAAACAATTTTTCAGGAAAATAAGTTTTTCGAGACCAGTTGCTGTTATCACTCTTTCCCATATTGATGGGGTTTCCTTTCTAACCTTTTGTTTGAAGTACTATGGAACATCAACATCTTGATTGTGTCATTATTTTCTCTTTGAATTAAATGTGCTATCCATTTTAGTTCTTGTTCCTTAAGCAATGTGTTATCTAGTACAGTTCTTTGTGATTTTTTTTAATGCATGTCCACAAGGTTCAATGAAGTCCTCACTGAAACCTACATGCTTCACTTGTTCAAAGCCATTTTTAACCATTGATCTTAGAAAGCAGTTGTATATAACCAACAGTTTAGATGTTTCTGAATTTTTGGCAGACAATATGAAAGTCACGATCAGACAAGGTTATTTAAGAACATGACTCTAATTTTTAGGTTAATGTTTTGGTTTTATATCAACTTGTGGTTTTATATGAAACTACTCTTAGCCCAAATTATTCTGTGTTCAATTTCCTTATCTTCTATACTAAATTTGTAACTAAATTTGTATTTGTATACTAAATTTTTGTAACTGATTCATATACCAAGGTATTTGAAGTTTTTAGTATTTACTAATTCTACTTTCTGGATTTTGTAAACTATTTGGTGTACACACCATCACTGCTTTTATTCCAATTCCAGACCATAATTTCCATTTTTGAAATGTTTATTTTGCCCTACCTCTTGGAATACTTGGTAGAGGATGCTGATTTTTTTTTGTTCCCAATCATTCTTATCCCAACTATGAATACCTATATCATCAGCATAGCACCCCCCGGCTTTTTTCCACTGTACATTGGCCTCAGGTGGGGAAACAAGAATGCTGTTTTCTATTAGTGGATTCATTTGGAATATGATATGGAATGTTTAAGTAATCAGCGCCCGTCTCTTCACATCTGTGCCCATACATGCGCAGAGCATTGTCTATGAAGTGATTAAATAGATTGGGACTCTCATTACATCCTTGTCATACTCCAGATGAGGTTGGAATGTTCCTGTATTGGGGTCCTCACCTGACATGTATGACTCTCTGGACTGATATAGTTCTTTCATCAGGTCCAGACATTCAGTGGATTTGGAGCTTGGAAAGCAGAAGTGGAACTCTGTATTGACATGGTTGTATACTGCTATGAGATCGACATAGGTATGAAAAAAGATAAAAAGAAAACTTATCTTAGCTGACTCATTTCCTCCTCTGAGGAACGTCAAAGCAAATGTCTAATATCAAAGCACGTATACAATTTTCTATTTGAGAGGGAAACAATTGCACTGTGGCGTAATGGTTAGTGGCTCGGATTGAGGAATTGAAGAGCCAAGTTCAAATTCCACTCGAATCCATTGCATTCACTTATGTGCCAATACCCTTGGGAAAGGTATGAATCCTCTTCTTCTCCCTCCAGCTATGAGTAAATAGCAGGACAAACCAGGTTCTATAGCCTTGGATGGCAACGGGTTTACCGCAGAAAGAAATAGCAACCTACTGTGGGGGGAAAAAAAAATCTACCTCGACAGTCATGATGCCCATAACTGTGTATCATGCATGGGACATAACTGACTTAAGCTATTTCCTGGAATTGTTTGATGACATATATACCATCATTACAACCCTTACAATAGTAAAAGTCAAACTGGATCTTGAGCAGTTGATTTTCGTAAAATGGTGGGAGCTTACTTAATATAATGTTCATTAGTACCTTTATCATAAACAATTTAATTGAGATACCTCTGTATGTGTGAGGGTGTGGGGGGTTACCTTTTTGTTTCTATAGTGCATTAATGCATGATATACCTCACTTTTTGGGATACACTTCTGATTCTAGACTTCCTTCCTGAAATTTAGAAAGTTGTTTCTAAATGCATCAAAAGGCTATGTTATTTTCAAAAGTTCAACCTAAATGTCAAGTGATGGTTTATTATTCTTTAACTTTTGAATAGCTTTCTTTACTTCCTCATCATTAAGTTCCTTATTGTTTATCTTTGGAGGCAGGTATTGTAATGCTTAGATGTATATTGATATAGGTTGTAATTCTGCAGGCATTTTCATAAGAGTTGAAATGTGACTCAAGGAGTTTTTTTAGACAGGGATATCTCTTCTGGTTTTTTGGGTTTTTTTTATAAGATGCTATCAGGATTCTTTTGCCTTTCTTCATATTTCAGCCCAATGTCTATGCTCTTTAGCTTCGTTAATTTAGTTTCCAATATTGTTAACAATTTTTCTTTGTTAATTCTTTAGTATTCTTCTCCTCATTTCTTTTCTTCTGCTTCTTTCTTTCTAGTATCAATTTTTTCAAATCTTTATTGTTGTCCCACGGATGATCTTTCTTTGTCTAGATATTTTAGAAAGTATTTCGTATGCTTAGGCTAAGAGTAAGATAATATTTGATTCCTCTGTTGCCATGATTTAAGTACATTGATTTGGATTTTATTTTAATTTTTTCAAATGGATATTATGCCAAAGTACGTTCATTGTTTATGCAATCAGAAGTGGAAAAGTCCCCCTCAGAGGATGAAACGCATTGGCTAAGGTATTTTCGTTTTGTCTTTTATATATATATATATATATATATATATATATACTAGCTGAGGTACCTGGTGTTGCCTGTTTGCTTGCATACTAAGCTAATCTCCCACTTCATCTTTTTTTACAGTATGTCCTTTGCAAGTGTTTAATTGTTCTTAATAAAGGAATTCCATCAATAAATACTTCTTGTGCAGTTGTTGCTCAGGGTTAAATTGTTTCAATGTTTTAGATATTCAGTAAATTTCCTATGGTTGTAATGACTTTCAAATAGTATGGCATTGTTCACAAATCTAATAAACAAAAACAGAGCTGAAGCAGCAGAGCTTGATTTAACCGCAAGTGCAAATGCATGAATGCCCCACTCTTTCTTCGCACATTTACTGTAAAAGCTGGAGTTCTTCTGGAATTTTTCCTTTCTAATGTTTCAATAATCCTTCTCAAACAATCTTTGCATCAAAAATTGTTTGAATGCCAATTTAGGATGGAATTATATGAAGAAGTTATTGGCTAAATGGCAAAAGCCAATTTTGGACCTAGTTTGCCGCAGATTTTGTCCACTTAACTGAAATAATCGAAACATTCATGCAAGATAATATGTGTGTCATATGTAATTTACATGGTAAATTTGGAAAACATTGGATGAAAAACCAGGGAGTTGTGGCTGAAAAATGGGCTTTTTGAACAGTTTTTCATGGTTTTTCGCATGGGAAGCAATTAGGACAAAAAACACACTATCTTATTTCTTGCGTGATAGCAATTTTTTGCAACTTGTTTGAAGAAAATCGGATAAAAAATGAGGAAATTATTCAAGTTTTTATTTTAAGTAGTACAAAAAACACGATTTTTTTCAGTTTTTTTGCAATTTTTGTGTGAATGTCGGAGGATAACTATCAAGCACTCACCATGAACCTTATAACATGAGCTATGTTTTTGCATTAAGTGCAAAAGAACATCAACCTCATCCAGTAAAAATTTTGTTCATGTGCAACTTTGCCTTGATTTTTGCAAAAAGTTGTACCGACCTTCACTTTTATCAATTTTTCTGCCAAATTCAGGGGGCCTGGAGATTGAAAAGTTTGTCTTGACTTAACATGATAAATTTGCAACATGTGTGTACAGTTTCATTGAAATCTGTCAAGAAATGTGGACGAGCATAAATATCATAAATACACACACAGACATCTTCTATTTTATATATATATATATATACACACACACACACACATATATATTAATTTTTCTTGTCACTGTACAGTGCACAATGAAATTAGACAGTAATCTCCAGGTGTACCAACACACACACACACACACACACACACACACACACATACATGTACAAAAAACCTATAGAATGAAGAAAATAAAGTTTAAAATACTTTGAAAATTGTCAGAATGTGACTGTGTTTGTGTGTGTGTTTATATATATATATATATATATATATATATATATATATATATATATATATATATATATGTGTATATCAATTGAGAGAGTGTGTGTGTATATACACACATATATAGGCAAAATAAAATTGTCTTTTTTCAGATATATACTTTTTATTCATAGCTAAATATTTTACACACGAATCCCAGTAAAACAAGAGCCATGTATAACAGTCACAACTGAACCCAATGAATAATAAAGTACAATTCAGTGTGAAGACCAGTGTAAATCCAAAGCAATCCCATTACCAAGTATCCAGAGCATGGAAAGTCAATACTGCATATGGTAATAATCTTCATTTGTGATTTTACAGAATCATAGCTATAAGCCTATAAGATCTGAGGATATTTTAAGATTCATAAGATTAATTTATCTGAAGTCATTTTTAACATTTGATTGGAAACATTTGTATGCAGATGACAGTCTTGGCATCTCTGAATAAATTGGATGTCAGGAATGACATCCACAAGAAAATATATATAGTATATACCAGTTAATGGGGTACCTGGTTGATTTATTTATTTATTTGAACGAAAAATATTCCGAACTTAACAAGCAAGTATGAAAGTGACGTTTGGCCAGGTCATTACTGATTTCCCCACTGCCTGGCTTTGGTAAGATGATATTTCATGTATCTGATAGTCTGAGCAAGATTCCAAACTCCTAGAAATAAGATGTGATTAATTAAGAATCAATAAAAACCTCCTGTCGCCCACAACTTTGCCATTTCTTCCTGTCGAGGTTAATCCTTTCAAGTGTTAGAAGTAGTAATCTAGTGTCCTCTCTAATTCGTGTTTCTCATCTCTTAGGCAGTCAATCATGTAATCCTTGTCCGGAAAGGTCGTCTTTGTAGGATCTCTAGACAAAGTTTCATTCTCCTCTACTGATTACATGGCCAAACGAGTACAGGTTTACTAGAATCAGAATAATTATGTCAGTTTTTGCTTCTGGCTTTTTCTTTATAGCATCCATTATCAATCTATTTTTCCTAACTGTGGTACTGAGACAGTTGTTTTTTGGGAGCCTTTCTCAATTTTTATTTCTTTCTCAATATCCAGGCTTCCCAGGCACAAATTACAATGGGGACGATTGTAGCACAGTAGAGTTTGTTCTTGATATCATATGGAATGTCTTTTCTGTCCATGATCCTTTTTCTTCAGTACTCTAAAATCAAATGCCATTTTTCACTTTATATTATCAATGTAGCTGTTATCTTCACTAGATATTTCAAATGTTTTTGATCACATAAATAAACCTGTCCTGGGTATGATGATGAACTACATCTGGCATCAAGGCCTCTGATCAGGATATTTTGAGGAGTATAGAACCACCTCGTAATTCCTGTTTTTTCCAGGTCCTGGGGTAGGTAGCACCTGTTAGGGTCCCAGCAATGGGTAAATAGTTAACTCTCAAACTGGGGTGAAAACACTAGGAAAGTATAAAAATAGATTTTTATAGTAAAAATACCAGCAGTACTTTTAACTCTTGACAAAAATCCTCTTTAGCAAAGTATGTCAATGAAACCTGATCTACAAACTGATTTCTTACAAAGAATACATATTATATTCATACAAACCTATCCTAAAAATCTTGTCGGAATCAAATCACCCATTAAGGTTCCTATGCCATAAACCAAGCCAAACTAAACGTAACTAAAAATAAGTTTCTTCAAATGTTAATGACTATTGAGGATTACAGTCATTCTATGTTATTAACCTTTCAGTATCTTAAAATATGTTCCACCAGTGTAAGAAATGGCATTAAGAGATTAAATTATATATATATATATATATATATATATATATATATATAACAAAAATCCAAAGTAAGAGAAAAAAGCAAAAGCAAGAAAAATCTTAGGCAAGAAAAGAGAAAGAAATTAAGAAAGAAGAAAAAAAACCCAAAAGGCAAATATCTACCTAAGCAATAAATAACAGTGCTCAATGTCCTCCAAGCTATCGAGACAGAGCAAAAAACAGTCAGTCCTCAACAAGACACAGCTTGTGTCACTACTCAAGTAATTAAAAGTGGAATCTAGGATTTGTACTCAAATACCATAATTAAATGTATCATAGGAACAAAAAGTAATATATATATATATATATATATATATATATATATATATATATATGTAGTTGTATATTTAGGCAGCAATCCTTCCTTTATGCATGTTTCATTAAAAACGACAGACAAGGTACTATGGTTAAGCTTTTGATTTAATTTTTCTTGTGTTCTGACAAGAGCTTTCTTTTCTGGACAAAGGGTGTGTAAGAACTGTCCAAATGTTTTATATTTCCGAGCGCTTTTGGCTATACCATTAGCCATTATCAAGGATGTTTCAATAGATTATATATATATATATATATATATATATATATATATATATATATGATTTTTTTGATCTAAAAATTGCTTGAAATTATGTTTAGCTTTATTTTTTAATTATTTATAATCAATGTATTCCAAGCAAGGAGTTGCTGGGAGTGAAAGAAAATGAAAAAACTTTAGGATGCACTGGAAACTCAATTCTAAACATAAAACAAGGAATAAACCTCTACTCCTGCCCAAAAGAATGGGGAGGAGTGTGAACTGGACAATAGGTGAACATATCTACTCTTATTGAAATATGTATATTTATTGTGTGTGGATATATTTACATGTAGGCCCTGTGTTATAAGTGGGTTCCATTCCAAATGCCTCTTGTAGTGAGTTTTCATTGTATTATGTAACACTAAAAGTCTGTTCTTTATTTTTCATGGACAGAGACACTAACAGCAATAAAAAATGTGTTTTTCTTATTGTCACATGTTGCCTTGTTGCTAAAAGTACATAAAGATATCTACTAAGGTTCTTTATCAGTTTTAAAACTTACCAACCATACAAATTCTATCTTGTGTAAAATGACATTTTTTACTTACATAACTGATACAAATATGTATTTCAGCATAAATATTAAACCTCAATGAAGGCTCATAATTCAATGAGGTATTTCTCTTGAATTTCATACTTTTTTATATATATCCTTCTTTATCTGCTGTCTTATCAGCATGTGGGTGATCATGACTCTCCACAATTTCCTACTCTTTGTAGTTCTTAGCAAGGTTTGTCTTTTCCCCATCTCTCCCAATCTTTTTTCTCCTATCTATTTGCACAAGCTTTTTAGATAGGTCACTTGCTGTCTCCTCCTTTCTCTTCAGTATGCCCTGTGAGGATCAAATTCTCTAAGGCCTCTTTCCTCCTTATTTGTCCCAAAAATTTCAACTTTTTCTTTCTGATTCAAAGTATAAACATTTTCCTTATTCCTTTAAACTTCCTTGTTCCTTGCATCTTCAGTTCATGGTATTCTCAACATCCTTCTGTAGAACCACATTTCTGTTGCCTCATGTCTTTTTGTCATCTATAACGAGATTGTCCAGCATTCACTGCTATATAGGAGGACCAATATTATATATCGATTCAGCACTTGTTTCTTTGTTGCTAATGAAATTTTCCTGTTTTTTAATACTTAGCTTTTGGAAAACCTATTTTGCTATTCTAATGTGCCTTCAGATTTCAGTGTCACATTTTCTGTCATCTCTTAAAAAATATCCAAGATATTTAGATTTTCATTCTTGCTTGATTTTAATGTCTCCAGTTTATAGTCAACATCTTGGGCTGTTCCTCTTGCTGACTACCATGTATTCTGTCTTTTTTTTTTTTTTTTTTTTTTTACAATTGATGCTTAGTCCTTTCTTCTTGCCTTCCTTTACTACCTTCTTTAGAAGTTTCTGCAGTTTCTTTTGTGTGTCTATTAACACTGTCTCATCTGTATGTTTTATGTTGTTAAGATTGTGTCTACCAATAATACATCCTGATAGGATTGGTAGTTCTCTGAGAATCTATTTCATTAAATTAATTTGATTCCTTGTCCAACTCATTGGTCACTGTTGAATAAACTCTATAGGTGAAATATCAAAACTTTATTAAAAAAGAACAAGAAAATGTTATTGTATTTCATTTTTTTTCTATGTAATTATGGCCAAGGGCACATTCCAAAAGATGATGTGAGACATGAGAATTTCTTTGGTAACAAAGAAAGGAATACTGAATTGTTACGTACACGCAATTCAAACCTTTTATTTACTATTGGATGACAATAGTTGTTAAACATGATCAGTGATTACCAATAGATTGAAGTTTGATAAGTGACATGTGAGGATGCGTGACAGCCATCTTGAAATTTCTTTTCTCCTCTGTTGTCATAGAGAGTTCTGATCAAGGGGCATAACGTGGTTCCCATTTAGGGAGTGAATAAGCTCCCTTGTTATGGCATCTACCTAACAGGAACAGACTCCTGCGTTAGTGCTTTCCTGAACATTTCAATCTTGACATCTTTAAGTTGAGGTTAATTGTCATCTTTCATCCTTGTCATAAGTGTTAATTCCTTCTAGCATCTTTTCCATTCATATAACACACCTCATTCATCATTAACATTTTGACTATAACCCTCTACCATGAGTGACTCTCAAGCTTTAAAGAAAACAATCTTATTAAAATGTAATAAAAAATCCAAATAAAATGTTTAATTTAAATTTTATTATTTTAATGAATTTAGCCCATTAATATTATTTGTTGGCAGTAGAGCTGAAATATAAATGAATAATTCAATGTATGTAATTGCATACATTATAAACCTTCTATTAGCTTAGAATTTCTAAGTTAATTTCATCTGAAAGTCAGGTAACGGAATGATGGTCTAGTGGATATGTCGTTTGCTTGTCTATCTCCAGATAGGACATTGTTATCATGGCAGAATTCACTTAGATTTACCATAATTCCCCATGTATAATATGCATTTTTTCTAAAAAACATAATCAGGGGTGCATATTATACACAGCTACAAAAAACCTTTGAAAAATTTCTGTAAAATAAAATAAGAATAAAACTAAATTAGAATAATATTATTCTGTTTGAAACCATTTTTTTTTAAATAAGAGTAGGAAACACTGGCTGTAATAAAATTGGAGAGGCACAATTTATAGGGTTTGATTACCAAACAAGGGATGCGTATTATGCATGAGTAGAAGCATTTTCCCACACTTTCAGCACAATTTTAGGTGTGCGTATTATGGATGAATATATATTATACATGGGGAATTATGGTATATCATTTCTTGCCATAACATGAGCACTGACACAAAACCAACAAAGTGACACAGACTTTTATATAATAAATTTGTATTGCTTGCTTTTGCATACTTCTACATGCATAGAAGGTAGGGACGCTGAAAAATTACCAGCCTGACTAACTTCCTGAAATGGATCAGGCTGAGAGCTTTTCAGCACCCCTTTTGTACAGAAGAATATTATTACTTAATCTAAGTGACATGCAAATTATTTTTGGAGGTTTTCATGTGTAGCCAACCCCTTGATAATTGATGTACAAAAGCTACTTTCCTCCTCTCTCTCTCTCTCTCTCTCTCTCTCTGTTCCACCTGTAAATAGCTTCCTAGGAATTGTTTTAGGTTTGAGTCAGCTATATGTGTTAAATGCTTAATTGAATTAGTAGAATTCAGACAATTATCTCATCATCATTAGTGTCTGTTGGGGAATAATTTAAATTGAAATATTACTACAGTTTTCTCAAATTTGAAATGTCTCACAAAAACATTATCATGTGCGACAAAAGAGTTCCCATGTGTCTTTATGAAAAACTGTGTTTGTATAAAGTGTACATGCACATGTTTTTATATATATTGTTCTCGCTCTTTAATAATGTTTCTCTTTTTTGTTATTCTTTCACATTCAGTAACCCCTTTGTGTCTTAGTGGCTTTACTGCCTTGCATGGGGGTGATATGATTAAGACACAAACATATATATGTGTGTGTGGGACAGTATGATATATTTATATCAGGACAAGGTGTAAAAATTCTCTGTAATACATTTTGTCCTCTAAAAGGGCTTCATCAATCTAAGTTAATGTTTTGATTGATTTGTTTTCTATGGCTCATCATCCCATTGCAGTTTATTTAAAGCCAGAAAACGTTTTAGAGTGTAAGATATGTTTTAGACAATGTCTTACTAATTAACCCATAGTTGAGGGAAGAGGTGGATTCATACCATTCCCAAGGGTATTTGTATATAAGTAAATGCAACAAACTTTCAGATACTTTGTCATTCAAATACCT